TATCCGCCGCCGCCGTTCCTCCGGGGATCCTCCGGCTTCGCTTCCCGTCTCCATGGCGGGCGGCGGCTCCTCGTCAGCTTGCCGCTTGCCACTTCCATTCTGCAGCGGCTCCATACGCCGCGGCGACAGCAGCCAAAGCGGACACTGCGCCTGCGCCGAAGTCTAATTCCTCGCCTTCCCTTTCCTCCCTCAGAGTACCGGGGGGGGCCTTCAAAGGAAAAATAAAAAAAATACGTCCAATCGGAAGCATTCGCCTTTGCGGCGACAGATAAACGAGCCAATTAGAATGAAGCGAAGCCTGCGGGGCTGGGATGAAAGGGGAATCCTTCCAATGAGCATCCGTCTGCCTTGGTTGAGAGACAAAAAGGCAAAAGGAGAAGGGGGAAAAAAAAAAAAAAAAAAGCCCCGCGCGCAAAGATGTAGTACTGAGAGTTAAGGCCTGAAGGGGCGGGGTGAATAATGGAATCGCCGTAGCCAACCCGCTTTTCCGATGGGGAGATGGACAGTCCGCCTGCCCAATGAAAAAAAAAAAGAATGGTGCTAGAGGCTGGATTTAAGGAGATGATGGCCAGGCCGGGTCTCCATGGCTACCTAGCAGGGAGGGAATTTGCTTTAATAAATGCAACCATATTAATTAAGCTTATATTACAAATATAAGCTCCTCTATGCGTGGGCCGTTCGTTTGGCCTTCTTTATATTTAATATGAATTCCACCTTTTTCATTGCGCACCTTGATTTTTATTACTAGGCTTTGCATTTTTAACCTATCAAATGCAGATCCTTTGCATTTTTAACCTATCAAAGTAACAGAGTTGGAAGGGACCTTGGAGGTCATCTAGTCCAACCCCCTGCTCATGCAGGAGACCAGTACTAGGGATTCGAACCGCCGAACTGCCAACCTTTCTGACCTACAAGCTCAGTGTCTTAGCCACTAAGTATATGATAACGTCATTTTTTTTTGCTCTGAGCACACTGGCCCACATTAAAAATGAAATTGTGTTGCCTGCTCTCAAGAGAAAGTGTATATCTACCCAAACACATACATAACGCACACAAACACATGCTATATAGATATATAAATATATATCTACACCATATATCTACATTTATCTACATCTATATACACACACATATACATACATGCACACACACACACACACGTCATCAGCTGTTGTGGCCTGTCAGCGGCCTGTGCAGCTCGTAGCTGATTCCGACAGCGAGGAGGCTGGTATGGTGTTGCGCCAGCAGCCTGTGCAGCTGGCGCTCGAGTCGGACAGTGAGGAGGCTGGAAAAGATGTGGTGCCAGAGGCGGGGATTCAGCCAGGGCCTTCAGAACCTCCAGGAGCTCCCATAAGTGAAGAGGAAGAAGAGAAAGAGCCTCTTCTCAATGCACGGGCACACAGAGCTGCCAAAAGGCAGGAGTGGCTCCTCAAGAGGTCTCCTCGAGAGTAAGGCTTGGTGCTAACGGGCCACTCCCTTAGCCTATTTAAGGAAGGATGATGACTGAGGCAATTTGCAGGGAACAACTTCGTTCAAATTCCTTCGCGTCTTGATTACAGAAAACGTTTGATTCGGCTCGTTTCTCTCGTCAGTTTTCCTGCAAATTGCTTCTGGGCATTCTGCCAACCACAGTAAGATTACGGTGATCTGAAATACTGTGCCTCAGAATTGAGTGATTATTCCTTAGATTCTTGTCGGCTGTTAATGAAGTTAAATTAACAGCGCTTGTTCAGAAGAGACCGATTTAAACTCTATTGTGTTCGAACAACTACTAAGAAAGCTCATGAGTAGTCCTTAATTAGTAAACTAAGGTTTGTACGGACTTTGTGTGTGCTGCATTCTATGGGGTCCGTAGCTGGGGTAGAACATCAGTATTACTGCTATTTCTTCCTCCAGTTTTAAAATTATGCCCATCTTCTAACCCAGCTCCCATGAATATACATTCAGCATATATATTGAATAAATAAGGGAAAAGTATATAGACAGGCCTCACTGAGCCACTGCCTCAGATAGTGATTGTTTGCAGACAGTGACGAAAAACTTAACTTTTACAACCGGTCTTGCATTGATATCTGCAAAATAAAAGAAACCCGAAGTCCTCTTTTAAGCAGACTTGCAGTTTCACTTAGCGGCTGCTTCACTTAACAATCAAATTGCAGTACATGTGTGTTTGCCGAATGTACAAATTTTGATCGCGTGAGCCTTCTAGACATGCTGCGACGGTCATAAGTGCAAGGACTGATTGGAAAACAGTTTTTTTTTTTTTGCAGTGCCGTTGTTAACTTTGACTGGCTGCTAAATGAATGGTTGGAAGCAGAGAATACCTCTAGGTAAGTGAAGATTTTCACATGTTAAGTATGGTTAATTATCTAGGTGCATTACCTTACCTGGTTTTTCTTAATTGCACCCGTATAGCGACCAACTAAAAATCTGGCAAGGAACAGGTAGTCATCAGCTTAGAACCCCAATTGAGCCCAAAATTTATGTTGCTAAGTGAGAAATTGGTTAAGTGAATTTTGCCTCATTTTACGACTTTTCTTGCCACTTTGATAAGTGAATCACTGCAGTTGTTATATTAGGAACACCGTCGGTAAAAGAACCTGGTTTCCCCATTGACTTTGCTTGTCAGGTCGCAAAAGAGGACCACGTGACCCCTTTTATGACACTGCAGCCGTCATAAAGGCGAGTCCGTTGTCAACCATCCGAATGTAAATCACGTAACCACAAGGATGTTGCAATGGTCGTTAAGTGTGAAAAATGGTCATAAATCACTTTTTTCCAGTGCCGTTGTCACTTCGAACGGTCACTGTTATAAGTAGAGGACAACCATTATTTATCAAACTTGGTTTCCAACTTTTCCAACAATTCTTGACATTCAATAACTCTTGCCAGAATAAATAGACAGCAAAGGGACTCTTTATTACTTCACAGAATTTCCCCTTGAGCAGTTTAACTTTCAAATCCTTATTTGCGGGAATTTGTGCAAAACCATTTCCTGCATTATGAAACTTGGCCACCTCTCCCTGGATTGAAAAAAAAATGCAAACTTCTTTTTCAGACAAATGAAAATGTAAATATGGGTGAAGGGAAGTCCTGGTTTACAAAACTGCAGAAGTATGTGCGGTGGCTTACTTAAAACAAAAACAAAAACAGGATGTTGAACGGTTTGAATATACAAATGCAGCTCAAATGTCTGCAATATGCTATATAAATAGTCCTCGATTTACAGCCATTCGTTTAGGGCAGGGGTCTGCAACCTTAAACACTCTAAGAGCCATTTGGACCCGTTTCCCACAGAAAAGAAAACACCGGGAGCCACAAAACCCTTTCCATGCCTGATAGTTTCTTGAGCGGTCGCAAAACTAGCATATGTAATGGAATTAAACGTTCTTTTTTCTTCTGAAACTTTTCTTGGATTTATCCATGGTTGGCCTACCGGGGATTGAAAAGCTCAATAAATTGTGTGTCGGTGGGTGTCGCACATTGACAGTTGTAACGCATATTTTGAGCGACAGGGAGCCGCAGCAGAGGGGTGAAAGAGCCACATGCGGCTCCAGAGCCGCAGGTTGCTGACCCCTGGTTTAGGGACTGTTCAAAGTTACGGCGGCACTGAAAAAAAGAAACTTAAGGACTCTTAAGGAGAAACGCGACCAAGCTGGAAATCAGGTTAGCAAAGAAATGCTTGGGGAAAGCAAGGGCATCCAGGCAGTGGTGGGTGGGGCAAGTTCCGCGGCACGGCGCTGCAATGGAGAAATGGGAGTGGCCAGCGGGAGGAAAGGAGGAGGAGCAGGGAGAAGAAAGAGGGAAAGGGGGCTCCTCAGAACCAATTGTTAAATTATTTGAATCCCACACTAGCCATAGATAACTCACCACTGTGGTTTATGAATTATGTTTTCGGGGTGGACGTGCTGGGTGAAGTTTACTCTGTCAAGAGTTGGTAAATGGCAGTTGAAACAAGTATCGGTTGCATGAACTCAACCAACATAAGGTGGCTTATTTTACTTCTAATAGCAAACAAACTTCCATGATTTTTTTAAGTTTCCTACTGAAACGGGAACAGACTTGTGGCTGAGATTTCAAGGAACAAGTCACTGTGAGTTTGTTGATGGGGAAAAAAATGCGGTTTAAAATAAAATATACAAGTGGAATACTTCTTTAGGGACCCATCAAAACACCAAAGAAAATTAAGAATGAAAGTACAGGATGAATCAGTGGTGGGTTCCTCCCGGTTCGGTCCGGTTCGGTCGAGCCGGTAGTGGTGATGACATGACGTCACCGAACCGGTTCTCCCCTCCCCTCCCCTCCCCGCCCTCCCACCCCCCACACGTAATTCTTACCTTTTATTTGGTCCCACCCCCAATCTCTTGCTGCCTCCTGAGTCCCAGCTGATGACTAGAGGGAAAAAAACTGTTTAAACTCTTGCCGCGGGCCTTCAAAGGGCCGCCCTACAGCTGATCAGTGTTAAAAGCAAACAAATGAGTTGGGTCGTAAGTGCGAGGACTGATCGTAAGTGCGAGGACCTTCCAGAAATGACTGACCAGCTAGCCACGCCCACCTAGTCACATGACCTCCAAGCCACACCCACAAAATAAGCCACGCCCACAGAACCGGTAGTAAAAAAAATTTAGAACCCACCCCTGGGATGAATGCCCGTTTCCAAACACTTTGGGTGAATTTAAGTGACCATAACAAAGGTAGGGAAATATGGTCCCTTTATGACTTGTGGACTTCAACTCCCAGAATTCCTGAGCCAGCTGGCTCAGGAATTCTGGGAGTTGAAGTCCACAAGTCACGAATAAAGCCGCCAGAGTTCCCCACCTTTCGACTATAGCAAAATGAAGTCTGAGGTTTCCCTACAAAATTACTATTCACGGATAAATCTGTACCGTTGGAAGATTCTTCCTCTCACCCATCCAAAATTTATCTTATACAACAGCTTGTTGTCACAAACAAAATAAACAATCTGGAAATTAAACTGGGATGAATGAAATAACGACACATTTTTCACCCAATAACTTTTTTTTTTAATCAGCACGTGAAAGGCGAGCAGGCGTACTGGGAAGAACGGGAAGGAACTCTAGAAGGAATTCTCCATTTTGTCAAAGGCTCTATAATTTTGCTATAAATTTGCTATAATTCTAGAGTTTAGCTTAGTTTTAAGCTAAATTAAGAATGAAGCTTTTCAGCATATTTTCTAGGCATCGCTCCTCCTCATTCATTTTTGGATGTTCTGCATATTTGAAAACTATTTTTCCCCCCCTTCGCTCTTTCTGCTGGTTAATGACCGCAAGAAAGTTATTCAATTCGGAAGTCTCCGTGTTTTAAATTTCCCAAACGCTACAGAACGTCGGAAAGAAATAAAGTAAGAAAGCTGGAACTTGGTTTGACTATCTGTCAGAAATAGAAAGAAAACGTTACTTTTTCTTTTTTAAAAAAAGGAACGATAATCGGTATGAGTCAACATATATACACAAGTAGTGTGAATGGACACACCCCGATTAACTCCTGAGGAGACAATGCATTTGTGGGTGCACGCAACACATTGAATCAGTGTTTCTGTGCAACTTGTGGCTTTCAGTTCCCAGAATTTCCTAGCCAGCCTGCCTCTTGTTTCAAGAAAACTTCCTCATTAAGCAAAGGCAAGCAACTAAGCCTTCATGTCCCCCCCCCCCAAATTCTCAGAAGGATGGAATCTGGCCCTCTTGGGTGCCAGGTAGTCCTCACCTTATGACCGTTCGACCACAGGAATGCTGCAGCAGACTCATCCCAATCTATCATCCTTCATAACAGTCATTAAATCGAGGACTACCTGTCATTTAATGGCCAGGAACAAACAACTTTCCAAATATCACACCTTAACCTTCCCTGCAGAAGAAGAAAAAACATCCACAAAAAACAGAACGAAGAAATTCCGTTTCCATCAATGTCAACGGATAAAATTCCAGACAGCGGCAATCCGAGTTAAGGATTACAGTTTTCCTGTAATAATCGAAGAACGAACTTCTATGCTGCTTCTTTCCAAGAAATGGAAAAGGAAGAACAAGGGTTCCCAAACAGTTCGGTGAAGTCCACCGCTTTTCCTTAAATTCCCTAAGCGGGCGTTAATTCCAGAAAAACGGAGCTGGACAACTGGACGCTCGTTTCTAAAGATTCAGCAATAACATCTTGCGTATCCAAAAGAACATCGTGTTCAGACCATAGTGAAAATGCTACTGGCTTTTTCCATTTCTAAGCCACATCAAAAAGATCTACCCACTGGAATCACGAAGGCAGTCACTCGTCCACGCCAGCCGGCATATTCTTTGCGATGTGACCCTTTCTTTTAAAAAAAAAAAATGAAAATCCTTTGAGATCCTGCAGTTCCCTTGCCAACTATGTGGAAGCGAGCTTTCAGGATTTTGCAATGATGTCCAGATTTTTTGCATTTCTGGCGATATCTCAGAAAAGTCCTAGGTCTGATCTGCTTGGCTATTTTGGGGGGGAGGGGAATGAGGCCACTGAACTGACCGATCTAAAATAACCTGGATCGAAAGTCGTCATTAATGACTCAAAAGCAGACTACAGGAAATAAGCAAGGCGTGTTGTGAGGATAGGAGTTCAACACTGCGGGAAGCATCGCGCATCGGTGGCGGGAAGCGATCTAAAGGAAGCAAGGTCCCTAGTGCTTCCCTTCCGTGGAGGATCAAGCAACGGTAGGAAGAGACAGTGGCTGGGTGTGAATTTCAGTTGGTCAACAACCGATCAGTGACTCCGGTGCTTATTTCTTCTTATACAGCACATAAGCCACAAACGCCACAGAAAATGCCGCAAAAAGCATCCAAAAGTTGCCTGAAGTAGCCCATGTTTCACCCTCAACTTTCTTATCTGGGAGAGAAGAACCCGCCTGGTGGTTCTTGGCTTTGTTCTCCGGTTGACCGTCGGATGTTGAATCCGGGAAATCCCTCGGGGAAGGTCGCAAGGAGGCCCTATCCAAAGGAGCCTCTGTGAGATCCATACTTGGATTCTTCTCCACCAGCAGATGGTAACTCCTGAAGGACGTGTCTTCTTCACCAGCGTCAACCTCGGGTGGAAGAGTAGCGTCAACGGTACCGCTCGCCCGGTTTCTTCCCTGCGGGGTGGAATGGCCGACCGAGCTGCTTTCGCTGATCAAAATGGGGTCGCTGTCGCTCGTGCTCACTGAAATGGCATCACTGTCGCTCATGCGTAATCTTTCTGACGACCCGGAATACATATCGTTGGTCTCTCCGGCATTGTCTGAGCTGAGCTTGCTGGGCTCTGCAGCAGGAACTGAAGACAGAATGCCCGGCTTGGAAGGTATATCGTTCTCACTACAGTAGCTGTGAAAGATGTGGCTGTCTCTCTTATGATCCCCAGCAGCCGAAGGCCGAGTCTCCATCCCCTAAAGGACACAGGACAAAGAGGTCAAATAAATGCCCGTGCTAACAATTCTCTGTGGAGATTCTCCGTGTTTTTTCAAATGGCAACTGGGCTTTGTTTTTCCTTGAAGACCTTTCGCTTCTCGTCCAAGAAGCTTCTTTGGCTCTAACTCAAGGCCCGGGGGCCAGATATGGTCAGATCCGGCCCGCGGGATCGTCCTGGAAAATGTAAGGGGCCAGCCCACGTGGCTTCGGCCTGGTCTATCCAATGCGAAGAGGAAACATCAGGCCAGCGTGGCTTCGGTCCGGTCTAGCCGTGTGGCTTTGGCCCAGTCAACCCAATGCGAAGAGGAAACATGTCAGCAATTAGGGGAGTGGCATCAAGGTATCCACTCCCACCCCAGTTGGCCACACCCACCCAGTCAGCCATGCCCAGGGAGTGGCATCAAGCTGGCCATGCCCACGCAGCTGGCCATGCCCAGCTGCCCCCCCTCCAAAGTCAACCACAGCCCTGATGTGGCCCTCAATGAAATTGAGTTTGACACCTCTGTTCTAACTGAATGGTGAAGGATGGAAAGACGACCGCAAGGAATAGAAATCCTTCCATCCTCCACCGTTCATTCAGAACTGAAGAAGCTTCTTGGATGAGAAGCGAAACCTCTTCAAGGAAAAATAAAGATCAGTTGCGTTTGGAAGAAATATCTTTGGGACTGCCCGTGCTAATTCATCCACCTTGCAGGATTCTTGCAACAAGATAAGAGATTCTTTCATCAAGCTCCCAGAGGAAAAAGTGGGAGAGAAATCTAAGACCGTGAATAAATAAGGCTATCTGAGGAAACGTCAGCGATGTTCCGGAATCGCCCGAGACAATGTTAAGCAGCACAATAGATGGGCCACAAATATTAACCAGTTTGGTCTAGTGGTTAAAATGCTGGTCTGGGAAGCAGGAGACGGGGAGTTCGAGTCCCGCCTCAAGCATGAAAGCAAGCTGGGTGACTTTGGGCCAATCACCAGGAAGCTGTGAGTTCTAATCCTAAATTAAGCATGAAAGCCATCTAGGTGACTTGGAGCCAATCACCAGGAGATGGGGAGTTCTAGTCCCGCCTTAGGCATGAAAGCCGTCTGAGTGATTTTGGGCCAATCACCAGGAGATGGGGAGTTCTAGTCCCGCCTTAGGCATGAAAGCCGTCTGGGTGATTTTTGGCCAATCATCAGGAGATGGTGAGTTCTACTCCAGCCTTAGGCATCAAAGCCGTCTGGGCGATTTTGCACTAACCATCGGGAGGCAGTGAATTTTAGGACCTGGTTTTACAATCGTCGTTAAGTGTATCACCACAGCTGTCGAGGGAATCATGCAACTGTTAAGTGGATTCGGCTTCCGCCATTGACTTTGGTTGTTGGAAGCTGGCTAGGAAGGTTGCAAACCTGTGTGACCTGAGAATACTATCGCCATTGCAAATATATGCTGGTGGCCAAGTGCCCAAATTTTGACCTCACGAAGGTGTTGCCACAGTTGCAAGTGCCACAACTAGTCATAATTCACATTTTTGTCAGAGCAGTTCTAACTCTGAGCCGTCACTAAACAAAGGATTGTGAGTCGAGGACTGCCCGTAGCTTCCTATATCCTGGTCTTGACCTTCCTACGGGTGTCCCCATATTGTTCCTGGGGCAGCCTCGGCTTCCATCGTTCCCCCATTTCTTCCTCCCAAACTTACCCGCTGCGGCAAGATACCCACGCCGGTGATTTCTCTCAAAGATCTTTCCTCTTCCACAGGAAGCTTAAAGTCATCTGAAGGTTTATCGCTTCCGGCAGCTGAAACCTCCCGACGAGACTTTGGTGCCTTTGTTTCTATGGAAGAAGAACCATCCGAATCCGAAGGTGGAAGACGAATCGGATGTATAGGCCCAGGGTTGGGGACCGGAAGCGGAGGCTTAGTTCCCATTTGTGTAAAGGGCAGCTGGGCATCGTTCGCCGGAGCTCGACGAGACAAAGGATCTATGAAGAGCTGCGTCTGGTTTTCTGGCGACCCATGGGAAGCTGCACAGAAACAATATCGACACAGTTTATTTACACACCAGTGACACGCTGCAAGTCGTGCATTTTCTGAGCATTCAACAGCCCCCCCCCTCCTCCTGTAGAGCGTAACACTAAACACCGGACGTGAAGCCCTGGTAGCGCAGCAGACTAAAGCACTGTTATTAACATCAGATGTCTGCAATTACTGCAAGTTCAAATCTCACCAGGCTCAAGGTTGACTCAGCCTTCCATCCTTTCTAAGGTAGGTAAAATGAGGACCCAGATTGTGGGGGCAATAAGCTGACTTTGTATAAAATATACAAAAGAATGAAGGCTATTGCTTAACGCATTGTAAGCTGCCCTGAGTCTCTGGAGAAGGACGGCATATAAATCAAATCTATATCTATCGATCTATCTATCGATCTATCGATCTATCTATATCACTACACTTAGCACAAATGACCACAGGTTATAATCCTCGACTTAACAACTCTTCGTTTAGTGGCCGTTGAAACTTACAACAGACTGGAAAAAATGACTGAGGACCTTTTTCACACAACCGTTGCAACCTCCCCAGGGTCACATGATCGAAATCAGAGCACTTGGCAACTTGGCATGGATTTATGACGATTGAAGCATCCTGGGATCACGTGATCCCCATTTGCGACCTTCCCAGCTTCCTTCCGACAATAGGGGAAGCTGGGTTTTGCTTAACGATCGCCTGATTTGCTTAACAACTGCAGCGACGCGCATAACCACCATGGAATAAAAAGTCGTAAAACTGGACACGACTTCCTTAAGCCACGCTTGGCTTAGGAACCAAAATTCTGGTCTTAACTGTAGTTGTAAACTGAGGACTATCTGATACATCTTGCAAATATGTAGGCCAGGTGTCCCCAATCGCCGGTCTGCGTCTGACTACCTGTTTGAAACCGGGCTGCACAAGCGGTGGGTGAGGGCATGTGCTTACCGCTCACAAAAATGGAGTTGCATGCATTTACCCATGCCCACCTGCCACTTACATGGAACTATCCCCGCTACCCCCTCCCCGCGGGCCGCCAAGCCAAAAAGGTTGGGGACCGTTGATATAGGCCCGTGATGGCGAACCTATGGCACCCGTGCCACAGGTGGCACAGAGAGCCCTCTATGCGGGTACACTAGCCGTCGCATCAGCCCAGCTCCACCGTGCATATGCGTGCACCTCCTGCCAGCCAGCTGGTTATCGGGTCTCTGCCGCGCATGTGTAGAGGGTGGGACACATGGAGGACGTGCGCACATGCAGGGGGGGTTGGGGGCATGCATGAAGCTTTCAAGGTCCAAAATGGGGCAAGGGGGGGCCTCATGCCCCACCCCCGCACTTCATTTTGGCTTCCAGGTTGGTGCAGGAGGCTTTCCAGGCCCAAAGTGGGTCATGGGGGGCACGCAGGCCCCCCCTTGCTCCGTTTTGGCTTCCAAAATGGATTGCGGGGGGGGGCGGGGGCATGCCCGGGGGGGCACTTTAGGGGGTTCCCTTTGGAGTTTGCACCCAGTTTTTCACCTGGGGGATTTTTCCTCGGGGAATCCAGGCAACTTTGTAGACTGTCCAGAACTGGCGGATTTTCCCGCTTTTGATCCCCTCGGAGAACATGGACCTTCCGTTCGGCCGCCGAATCCTCTCTCGGACCGCCCAAAGCCAACGAGATGCTATCGCTCGAATAATAATCCTCTTCTGGCTGATTACTAGACGCGCCGGTGGGCAACGCTGAACCCGTCCCGCTATCCTCTGGGTGGTGTGCGTTCCCAAAACACCCGTTTTTCACCGTCACCGGGCGGTGCTGGCGTCCATCCCAGTTCTGCTCCACGTTACCGTCAGCCGAGGTTGAAATTGTTTGGGAGGGAAGCGGTCTCTCTTCCACGGGGCACGGGACCGATGCAGACTCTTTGACAGGATCTGGATCTGGAGACTCAATCCCTCTGTCTCGTCCGACAGCTGCTCCGATGTTAGATGCTGAACTGACGTCAGAAGTGGAGGAGGAACCTGGCTCTGCTCCTTTGCCTGTGGTCTGCAAAAAAGGAGGAAATTATTTCTGATTTTAAGTTAATTTTACACAGTTTATATATTGATTATATTGTACGTTGCCCAGAGAGTTGGGGGCAGTGGTGGTATTTAGCCGGTTCTATCCTGTTCGGGTAAACTGGTAGCGGCGGCTGCGGGAGGCTCCACCCACCCGCCCAGACGTCATCATGTCCCGTTTTTTACGCTCTGGGCATGCGCGGAGGCGGCGCATGCAGGCGATGTCAGCGCGCACACGCACTCACATTGGCAAACCAGGAGTGAAGGTAGGTGAATACCACCCCTAGTTCAGGGGTGAAATGCTACCGGTTCGGATCGGCCGAACCAGTAGCGACGGCCGCAGGTGGTTCGGAGAACTGGTAGCGGCAGCAGCACAAGGCTCTGCCCACCCACCCGGTCGTCGTTAATTCCTGATTTTAACCAGGAAGTAACCTGCTTTTTACCTTCTGCACATGCGCAGAAGGATTTGCGCATGCGCAGAGGGTCCAAGCACGCACATGCACTTCTAGCGCATGCACTTCCGAACCGGTAGGGAAGGTAAGTAGATTTCACCCCTGCCCTGGTTGGGGGCTGATGCTATAAATGAGAAAACTCGCCTGGGACTTCAAAGATGGCTGAGCGACTTTGAATCAATCACCAGAAGACAGTGAGTTCTAGTCCTGCCTTAGACTTCAAAAATGGCTGAGTGACTTTGAGCCAATCACCAGGAGACGGTGAGTTCTAGTCCCGCCTTAGACTTCAAAGATGGCTGAGTGACTTTGAGCCAATCACCAGGAGACGGTGAGTTCTAGTCCCGCCTTAGACTTCAAAAATGACTGAGTGACTTTGAATCAATCACCAGGAGATTGTGAGTTCTAGTCCCGCCTTAAGACTTCAGAGATGGCTGAGTGACTCTGAGCCAATCACCAGGAGCCTGTGAGTTCTAGTCCTGCCTTAGGCATGAAAGCTGGTTGGTTGATTCTGGACCAGTTCCTTCCTCTCAGCCCAACTCGCCCCACAGGGTCTTCATCGTGGGGAAAACGGGGGGGGGAGAGATTGTATTGGATATGTTCATTGGCTTGAATTATTTGTAAAAATAATAAAGGCAGGATAAAAACAATACAAAATAAAGTAATAATGTAAAATAATAATATAATAGTATAGTACCGTGATGGCGAACCTATGGCACGGGTGGCACACGGAGCCATATCAGTGGGCAAACAAGTGTTGCCCTAGCTCAGCTCCAGTGCATATGCGCGCGCCGGCCAGCTGATTTTCAAGCCTTCCAGGCCCACTGGAAGTCGGGAAACAGGCTGTTTCTGCCCTCCGGAGGGCCTCGGGGGGGGAAGGTCGTTTTCGCCCTCCCCAGGCTCCTAGAAAGCCTCTGGAGCCTGGGGAGGGAGGGCAAAAAACGGGCCTACTGTGCCATCGCGTGCCAAAAGCGGGGGTCGTGCGGGGCAGAGGATGGTGGTCGCACACGCATGGGAGGGACGATGGGGCACATTGAATTATAGGCGTGGGCACTTGCGCACGCGACCACCACCACCCCACATTCCTCCCGCTTTTGGCACGCGACAACAAAAAGGTTAGCCATCCCTGGTATAGTACATAATATGATATATAATGATGTAATATATATGATATATAATAATATATGTATAATATAATATGTATAATAAAGGTAAAGGTTCCCCTCGAACATATATGCTAATCGTTCCCGACTCTAGGTGGCGGTGCTCATCTCCGTTTCAAAGCCGAAGAGCCAACGCTGTCCAAAGATGTCTCCGTGGTCATATGGCCGGCACGACTCAACCCCAAAGGTGCACGGAACACTGTTACCTTCCCACCAAAGGTGGTCCCTATTTTTCTACTTGCATTTTTTTACCTGCTTTCCAACTGCTAGGTTGGCAGAACCTGGGACAAGGAACTTGAACTCACACCATTACACGGCACTAGGGATTCGAACTGCTGAACTGCCGACCTTTCGATCAACAAACTCAGCGTCTTAGCCACTGAGCCACCGCATCCCTTTAAAATAAATATGCAGGGGTGAAATGCTCCCGGTTCGGACCGGATCACCGAATCCGGTAGTGATGGAGGCGGGTGGTTCGGAGAACCGGTAGCACAAATCCCTGCCCTCCCCCATGCCCAGCTGAGCCGCGCAATCATCAGAGGCTTTTTTATTTTTATTTTTAAAACCATTTTTTCTACAACCTCTTTGGGGAAGAAGTTGTAAAAAAAAATGCTTTGAAAACCCTCTGATGATCCCAGCTGAGTTGCCTGATCGACAGAGGCTTTTAAAAGCAATTTTTTTTTACAACCTCTTCAGCCGAAGAGGTTGTAGAAAAAATGGTTTTAAAAGTAAAAAAAAAAAAAAAAAAGTTGGCCACGCCTACCGTGACATTACCCCACCAAGCCACGCCCACAAAACCAATAGTAACAAATTTTATATTTCACCACTGATACGATATATAATGCAATACATGAAATTAATATAATTTTATAATATAATATAATATAATATAATATAATATAATATAATATAATATAATATAATATAATAAATATAATCTGACTGAAGGAGCTAGCGTTCACCTGGCATTTAAAAAAAGAAAAGCTGGACAGAGTCATCTCAAGCGAGATGAGCAGCAAATAAATTTCATACATACATACATACATGCATGCATGCATGGCTACATGGATACATACCTTGGGATGTACCGCTAACCTGCTCTTTTCAGCCGGATGGCTGTTTTCTTGAATGGGAGTCCGGTAATCTCCCGCATCCTGGGGGGGCGGATTGGCAGATGAAGAGGCCAATCGCGGGGGAGACGAGGGAAGGGCTTGGTTTTCGGTTAAGTACTGTCCAGGAGGGCTCTGCTCATTGGCATCAAGCCGGAGAGGCGGAGCCGAAGGCCAATTGGCAGCTGGGGGTGCCGAAGCTGCTGGAGGGGTCCTTGGGGCTGCGGGAAGACGTCGTTGCACGCAGGCGGACGTTACATGTGGGGGAGAGAGAGAGAAGGAAAGGATGCAGGGTCAGCCCTACCAGGAAGGCCAGACAGGAAATTAGGCCACCAGGGGACCTAATTCTACTTTACAGACAGTCCTCGACTTACAACCGCCCGTTTACTGACTGTTCGAAGTTACAACCGAACCAGAAAAAAAGTGGCTTAATATTGTTTTTCACACTTACGACCGTTGCGCCAACCCCAACGGTCACGTGATTCGAATTCGGACGCTTGGCAATCGGCTCACATTTAGGATGATCGCAGCGTCCCTGGCTGACATTCACCCCCTTTTGCGACCTCCTGACGAGCAAAGTCAATGGGGAAGCCGGGTCTCCCTTAACAACCGTGTTCCTCACTTTTAACAACGGCAGCGATTCGCTTAACAACGGTGGGAAGAAAGGCCGCAAAGCGGGGCATTTCTGTTCAAACGTCTGTTGCTAAGCGAGATAGTTGTTAATCTCGCTTAGCAGCAGAAATAATGGGCCTCAGCTGTGGTCGTAAATCGAGGACTACCTGTAGTGTAAAACTAGATTAGCAGAATTTTGCAAGTACAATTCTCCCTTCTCGTTTAGAAACTCAAGAAACTCAGGAGGGTCTCTTTCCCCATCCATTATCCCGCTCAGGGCTACGCTGCCTCTTATTTGACTGTTGCCTATTTGTGTCTCTTAGTTGTGTCTCGCGAAATCTTTCCCACGTACAGGCAGTCCTCGACTTACAACCAGCCGTTGAGCCCACAAGCTCCCCAAAACTTGGCAACTTTTTCAGACTTGTGGACTTCCAACTCCCAGAATTCTACAGCCAGCCCAGGCTTATGACACGAGACGGAAGTTGGAAGTCCACAAGAATTCCAGTTGCCAAGTTTGGAAAGCCCTGATTTAGCCGTTTGTTCCAAGTTACAACGGCGTTGAAAAAAGTGACACGACGGGTCCTCGCCGTTTCCAACCATTTGTGGAATCCTGGCGGTCGCGTGATCAAAATTCGGAAGTTTGGCAACTGGCATTCTTTTATGACGATCGCCACATGCCGGGGTCATGTGGTCTCCTTTTGCGACCTTCAATGGGGGGAGCCAGATTCATTTAACAACTCGTTGATTCTCTAAGGGGAGAATCTCTCTAAGGAGAGAACCAACCTAAAACGAAGGAGAAATTTCCTGACACTCCTTAACCAACGGAACAGCTGGCCACCAGAAGTTGTGCGTGCTCCATCACTGGAGGTTTTCAAGGAGATGTTGGACAGCCATTTGTCTGAAATGGCCGAGGGTCTCCTGCTTGAGCAAGGGGTTGGACTAGAAGACCTCAAAGGTCCCTTCCAACTCTGTTATTCTTAACAACTGTGGCCAAATATAGATAGATAGATAGATAGATTGTAAAACGGGGTAGCAACTCACTTAACAACTGCCTCACTTAGCCATGGAAATTCCGCTCCCAACTGCGGTCGTAAGTCGAGGACTACCTGTATCACAGTGTCGGCTACCAGAAAAGACAAATATTTTAGGGACGAACAAATTCACACTCGACCCAAGGCCTTGGTTCGTTTACTTGAGACCTCCAAAGTCCTCCCGGACCTTCTTTTTTTTGGGGGGGGGGGGGGGGGGGGGGGGCTTTGGAGGCCCCAAGGGCGCCAACGTTTTCCAAAGCCGTCTTTTACGCCCCCGAGGAGCCAAAAACAATCTGCGAGAGAGAGAGAGAGAGAGAAAAGAAAGAAAAAAAAGCATCTTACGAAGGAGTTTGCTGTTATACAGGCTTTCCAGCTCGTCAGCTAAGTCGCCCATGTTCTGTTCGCGGAGAGCTTCCACGAAGGGCGGCACCCAGTCTTTCCTGCAGCACAAGCGTTGAAAGAAAATGAACGTGGTTTCGTTGTTTCCTTCGTTGGTGCAGGACGCTCTGATCTTTTGCTACGAAAAAGGAGGAGAAGAAGAAGAAAAAAAGTTGTAAAAAAAGGAAAAGCTCTCTCCTCCCCTGGCCCCCCCCACCTTCCCGGTCCGGTCCGGTTGCGCCGTCTTTGTCCCTTAGCCGAGGAAGGGGCAGCGTTTGTCCGAAGATGCTCCCGGGATCATGTAGAGCAGGGGGTTCCAACCTTGGCAAGACTTGTGGGCTTCAATTCCCAGAGTTCTCCTTTCTTGTGGCTAGAAGTGATTAGAAGGCAGTATTGCAGCTTAAGTCTGCTGACTGCCGGCAGTTCGATCCTGACCGGCTCAAGGTTGACTCAGCCTTCCATCCTTCCGAAGTTGGTTAAATAAGGACCCAGATTGTTGGGGGCAAGAGGCTGGCTCTGTAAACCGCTTAGAGAGGGCTGTAAAAGCCCTGTGAAGCGGTATGTAAGTCTAAGTGCTACTGCTATTTTCCTTCCTTCCTCTTTCCTTCCTCTTTCCTTCCTCTTTCCTCCCTCTTTCCTTTCCTTTCCTTTCCATCCCTTTCCTTTCCTTTCCTTTCCTTCCCCTTTCCTTCCCTTCCCTTTCCTTTTTCCTTTCTTTTCCTTCCCTTCCCTTCCCTTCCCTTATTTATTTAGTTCAATTTATATGCCGCCTTTCTCCGGAGACTCAGGGCACCTTCCCTTCCCTTCCCTTCCCCTCTTAATTCTCATTCTCCTTCCTGGTGGCACAGTGGTTAGAATTCAATAATGTAGGCTAATTCTGGCGACTGTCAGCAGTTCGATTCTAACCGGCTCAAAGTTGACTCAGCCTTCCATCCTTCCGAGGTGGGTAAAATGAGGACTCAGATTGTTGGGGGCAAGAGACTGACTCTGTAAACTGCTTAGAGAGGGCTGTAAAGCACTGTAAAGTGGCATATAAGTCTAAGTGCTATTCCTTCCTTCCTTCCTTCCTTCTTTCCTCCCTCCCTCCCTCCCAGTGCTTAGAATGCAGCATTGCAGGCAAACTCTGCCCACAGTCTGGAGTTCGATCCTGACCAGCTCAAGGTCGACTCAGCCTTCCATCCTTCTGAGGTGGGTAAAATGAGAACCCAGATTGTTGGGGGGCAAGAGGCTGACTCTGTAAACCGCTTAGGGAGGGCAACAGAGCACTATGAAGTGGTATATAAGTCTAAGTGCAATTGCTATCAATTCAAAAATGTTTTACCAGCAGCTCCAAATTTTACACCATTGTGTGTTAAAATATCCGTGTAATTACCCGGTCTGTCTCGGTGAGACACGGCAAGTGGATCATTTGGCTCACTTGGACGCGATGGAACATGGCAAGGTTGCGATAAATATATTTCTTCGCCTCATCTTCAGCCAGTTGTCTTCCCCAGACAGGCATCTCCAGTTAGTGGCTAGGAAAAAAAGAAGAGGAACAGCTGAATCTACACGGCAGGCAGTCCTCGGCTTACAACAGTTCATCCAGTGACCGTTCGAACTTACAACGGCAATGGAAGAAAATGACTTAGGACCGTTTTTCACACTCGCGGCCGTTGTAGCATCCCCAAGGTCTCAGGATCAAAATCCGGACGCTTAGCAACTGGCCCACAGTTCCGGAGTCATGTGATCAGCTCTCGCCACAGTCGTGAAGTGAATCACTGCAGTCGTTAAAAGTTATAATACGGTCATTAAGTGAATTTGGCTTTTCCCCATTGACTTTGCTCGTCGCAAAAGATGGTCCACAGGACCCCGGGATAAATAGAGGCCAGTTGCCAAGCATCTGAATTTTCATCACGTGACCATGGGGACGCCGCAACGGTCATAAGTGTGAAAAATGGTCGTAAGTCATTTTTTTCAGTACCCTTATAACTTTGACTGCTCACTGAACGAATCAGTCGATAAGTCGAAGATTGCCTGTATTTGAAATACGACATGCTGTTGAACCCTTAGATTATGTGCATTTTGTACCTCTGGTTATTGCAGAATTGTCTTTACATTAGAAATAGAGTTGGAAGGGACCTTGGAGGTCTTCTAGTCCAACCCCCTGCCTAGGCAGGAAACCCTACACTACTTCAGACAAATTGTTATCCAACATCTTCTTAAAAACTTCCAGTGTTGGAGCATTCACAACTTCTAGTGGCAAGTTGTTCCACTGATCAATTGTTCTAACTGTCAGGAAATTTCTCCTTAGTTCTAGGTTGCTTCTCTCCTTGATTAGTTTTCACCCATTGCTTCTTGTCCTGCCCTCTGGTGCTTTGGAGAATAGCTTGACTCCCTCTTCTTTGGGGCAGCCCCTGAGATATTGGAAGACTGCTATCAGGTCTCCCCTAGTCCTTCTCTTCACTGAACTAGACATACTGAGTTCCTGCAACCGTTCTTCATATGTTTTATCCTCCAGCCCCCTAATCCTCTTTGTTGCTCTTCTCTGCACTCTTTCTAGAGTCTCCACATCTTTTTTACATCGTGGTGATCAAAACTGAATGCAGGATTCCAAGTGTGGCCTTACCAAGGCATCATAAAGTGGTATTAACACTTCTTGTAATCTTGATTTTATCCCTCTGTTTATGCAGCCTAGGACTGTGTTGGCTTTTTTGGCAGCTGCTGCACACGGCTGGCCCCTATTTAAATGGCTGTCCACTAGGACTCCAAGATCCCTCCACAATTACTACTATTGAGCAAGGGACCACCTATGCTGTACCTGTGCATTTTGTTTTTCTTGCCTAAATGTAGAACCTTCCTTTTTTCTCCATTGAATATTATTATTGTGCTCGCTGTGTAATGAAAAAGCGAAAACTGCTCTACGTAACCGATAAGGAACGCCAGACTTCTCAGGAAAGGAGTCTGAAGGTCATTTCAATTGCCGCTTCAAAGGGCATTCCGATGCCGGCTATTTGCACACTTGCGTTGCCAATACACAAATAGCAACTGGCTGGGCATCCTACAAAGATGTCATATCTCAAGGCTAAGGGCCGTCTGAAAAACGCCCCTCTGTTGGTGTCTCTTCACTATTTGGGCTGTCCACAAATCTGGTTGCAAAGGGGTCTCCAACTTTCAGACTTGTGGACTTCCCACAATTTCTCAGGAGGAATTCTGGGAGTTGGTCCACAAAACTTTAAAAAGTTGCCAAGGTTGGAGGGGAGATATAAACTAACTAAATAAATGGATATATTGAATGTCTGGGACAACCAGAAAGATACAATTTAGAATCTGAGCAGGTCAAAAAGCCTCCAGGATTTGAGATGCAGCCAGAGAAATGCCAAAATTAAGAATTCGATTGAAAGAACAACCCAAAATGTACTCAGCTTACAACCACAACGTAGCCCAACATTTCTGTTGCTAAGAGAGACAGTTGTTAAGTATAACTTGGCCCTATTTCACGACCTTCCTTGCCACAGTTGTTAAGTGAATCACTCCAATTGTTAAGTTAGTAAGACAGCTGGTTAAGAGTGAATCTGGCTTTCCCCCTTGACTTTGCTTGTCAGAAGGTCGCAAAAGCGATCCCAGGACACAATAATCGTCATAAGTATGAGTCAATTGCCAAGCATCTGAATTTTGACTACATGACCAAGGAGATGCTACAAAGGTTTAAGTGTGAAAAATGGTCATAAGTCAGTTTTTTTCAGTGCTGTTGTAACTTTGACCAGTCAGTAAATGATCTGTTGTTAAGTTGAGGACTACCTGCATTCCAAATATTATAATCAGAGAAAACTGGGTGGGTTTTTTTTTTTATTGTGCATATATTACTCCAGTCTTGTGCATTAAAATTCTCTTTTAAGAATTGCTGGAAATCTAATCAGCTGCTTGGATTGTCTTTGTTTGTTAATATTTGCCAGCTGAAAAACTCCAACCTTCCTTCCCCTGAGCAGCAGAAAAAAAGCTTCCATTTTCTGGATGCTTAAGGATTGATCAGAAATTTCTCCTTTTTTTTAATAAAAAGTTTTTTTTATTTTATACACAAACACAAACATACAATGTATTTTTGCTGAACGGAGTATTTGGCCGGTTAACAAATTTAAACAGTTTTTAGTCCTTTCAATTAAAATTACAATTTCTATATCTCTTTTTTTTTTTGCCATAATATTTATTTTCATCTATTTTTTTTACCAATATTAACCTTCATTTTCATCTCCAATTTTAACCAAATTCCATTTTTCCCTTCTATTTTATATTAAATCCCTTCCCATTATCATCTATTTTTATATCCATCATCAAATTAATTAATTTTGTGGTGTTAGTTATTCAATTCTTATAGTAATAGTAAACCCACTTATTTTATGACATACATTTCCTTAAAGTCCAACATTTTAATATAAATCAATTAATTATGTAGATATCTTTTTCATTTATATATTCAAACAAGAGAAAAAAAATGTAAATGTGGATATTCCAATTCGTTCCATTTTCATACATCAAATAATTTCCCCATATGTTCCTCCAAATCACATCTTAATCATTTCTACTTTCACCACGATATGCAATTAAAGATATTTCATTTATTACACTTTCCTTAGTTGAATTTAAAAATATTCTAGCTATTTATCCATATGCATAGGAGACAGAAGGAGATGCATAGGAGAGAAAGGAAGAGAAAAGGAAGGAAAAGAGAAAGAAAAACAGGCAGAGATACACAGGGAGGAAAGAAAGGAAGAGAGAAAGAAAGAGACAGAGAAAGGAAGGAAGGGAGAAAGAGAGAGAAAAACACTGAGGGGCAAATGACATGGGTTTTGTAATTTGTTAACAAACTTTTATTTTGTATTTTAATTTGATTTCTTTTCTCTCTTTTAAAAGGATGTTCAGGTTTATCAGCTTTTAACAAGCTCCAGATAAAGAAAAGTTTGTTAGTACAAATTGGGACAATCTGTACTGGTTTATCTCTTTCGTGAACTCCAGCCAACCTTTTTCCTTACAATTTATGCTCCTTCTGCCATCAGACCTCATTTTAATGAATACGTGTGCTACGGTATTATGGGATGCAAATATGTAACATGTTTGACTACATGTAGCTGATTTCCTATGCAAAGGAAGGAGTGGTTACTTTTATCCTGTCCAATCAACTTCCCTCTTTCAGTTCTCTTTGTTATGTTAACTATAAAAGGGGAGGTAAGATAAGGATCCGGGTTTCCTCTTTGCATGAGAGGAATCCCTTTTGCCTGAATATTCTGATAAATTGTAATAAAATGATTTTCCCGTCTCAGTTTGTCTCATTGGAAAATATGCATGCCAAGGCAGAAGCCTGAAAAAGCCATTTTTGGCCTTCACAGAGAAAAGAGAGAGAATAGGGAAGGAAAGAAGGAAAGGAAGAAAGAAACAGACCAAGAGACATAGGGAGGAAAGAAAAAGAAAGAGAAAGGAAGGAAGGGACAGAAAAAACAGACAGGCAGAAAGAGAGAAATAGGGAGGAAAGGAAGGAAGAGAGAAAGGAAGGAAGGAAGGGACAAAAAAACAGGCAAAAAAAGAGAGATAGGGAGGAAAGGAAGGAAGAAAGAGAAGGAAAGAAGGAAGGAAGAAAGAAAGAGATAGAGAGGAAAGAAAGGGAAAGAGAAAGGAAGGAAGGAAGAAAGATTACAAAACAGGTAGAGGCAGAAAGGAGATAGGGAGGAAAGAAAGGAAGAGAGAAAGAAGGAAGAAAGAAGGAAAGAAAAGAAAGAGGGAAGAAAGAAAGGGAAAGAGAAAAGAAGAAAGATAAAAACAGGCAGAGGCAGAAAGAGAGAGATTGGGAGGGGAAAAAGGAAGAGAGAAAGAAGCAGAGGGACAGGGAAGAAAGAATAAAGAGAAAGGAAGGAAGGGACAGAAAAACAGACAGGGAGAGAGGGAGGAAAGAAAGGAAGAGAAAAAGAAAAGAGAAAAACAGATAGGGAGGAAAGAAAGGAAGAGAAAGAGGAAAGGGAAAGTTCTTGTTTCTGGGATAATAGGAGGAGGAAAGAGTTCTTGGATTGTCTACCAGCTGAGTTACTTATTTTAAAAAAAGTTACAAAGGCAGGATACAAAACCCTCATTGATACATTTTTGTAAAAAAGATCAGTTGAGCCTGAAATCGTGGGTTCTTGGGTTTTTTTAAACCCTGGTCTCCCAACTGATATGGGGGAGACTGGACTTCGGAGGCAGCCCATTTCTAGACTTTGGGCAGCGCTGGCAAATCTTCCTCTTCCTCCTCTCGGCCTTCGCAAACCTCGCGCTTCCTCTCCAGCAATGACCTTGACCACTAAAAGCCAGCAGTGAAAGGAAGGAAGGAAGGAGGGAGAGAGAAGATAGGTCAGAGAGGAAGAAGGAAGGAGGAAAGAAAGAGGGAGAGAAAAGATAGGAAGGAAGGAGGGAGGGAGAGAAAGATAAAGGAAGGAAGGAAGGAAGGAGGGAGAGAAAGATAGAGACAGAGAGGAAGGAAGGAAGGAAGGAGGGAGGGAGAGAGAAAGATAAAGGAAGGAAGGAAGGAAGGAGGGAATGAAAGAAAGATAGAGACAGAGAGGAAGGAAGGAAGGAAAGAAGAGGGAAAGATAGAAAGGAAGGAAGAGGAAGGAAGGAAGGAAGGAAGAGGGAGAGAAAGATAGAGGGAGAGGAAGGAGAGGAAGGAAGGAGAGAGGGAGAGAAAGATAGAAGAGAAGGAAGGAAAAGAAGGAAGGAAGGAGGGAAAAAAAGAAAGAAAGAAAAAAGAAACAAGACAACTTCTCTCCAGCTCGTCTCGGGGACTTTCCTGGACTTCGGTCCTTCAGCTAGACCCCCCCCCAAAAAAAAAACTAGCCAGGATGGCTCCCTGCCCCAATCCTGGTTAAATTGCAACTCGCCATAAAGGAACCCATAAGTTCGGAAGCATTAAACCCAGATCGGTGGGCAATCAAACGGGGGTGGGGGGGAGGGGGAGACTTTCCAAGGCCGGAAGTCAAGCTCTTAAACCAGCAAATCAGGGTCGATGTCTTAGATGATGGTTTAGGAGTTGGGTCCCACGTGCAAAAAAAAACAAAGAAACAAACCCTCTTCTTTGCAAAAGGATCGACTCCGATCCTGCCATTCCTGGTGTCGTTTTAAAGTCTCTGTCTCGGCTCACGTGTGGGCCTCGCCTTCAGAAGCCACGCGTGGAGGGGAGGCCGTCGGAGTGGGGCGGCCGATGCGTGTTTTAAAGGAACCCGCGCCAAGCGATTCATTCCAATCGAGAGGGCAGCACCCCTCAAGGCGCAAATCCACACGCGTGTCCCCCTCCCTCCCGGGTCTCTCTCTTTTTTCCCCCACCCTTCACACGCAACGCTGAACACGGGACTGCTACGCCCAATCTTGCAGGCGCCGGCCAAAGGAAGCAAACTAGGCGGTGGCATGAAGGCAAAGCGGGGTTATTCCGGGGTAACCTTTTTGCAACTTTTTTTTTATATATATATATATTTGCAAGCGGGGGAAGAAGCGGCCGCAGCTGGATCCGCGCCTTTCCTCGCGCCCTCTTGCCTTTCTTTCTTTCTTTCTTTCTTTTTTTTACCTGGTTTAATGGGAGGCCCGGGGCGACCGCGGCTCCTTTCCTTGCAAAGCGGCGAAAGTCTTGCCTTTTCCAGGGGAACGTTCTCAGCCCGCCCACCGCCCACCTCCCATTGGCTGCCTCATTTCCGCTCGGCCCGTTTTGGAACGTTGGGTTACCAATTGCCAGGAAAGGGAGGGGGGAAGAGGGGAGGGGGAAGGGGAGAAAAAGGAAGAGAAGGGGAGAGGGAGGGAGGGGGGGAAGGAAGAGGGTAAAAGAGGGGAGAGAAAGGGAGAGAGCGATGGAGGGAAGGGGAGGGAGCGGGAGAGAGAAGGGAGGAAGGAGAAAGAGGAAGATAGGAGAGGGAGAGAAAGAGAGAGGGGGAAGGAGGGAAAGGGAGGAAAGAGGAAGGGAAAGAGGGAAGGGGAGAGGAAGGAATGGAAGAGAGGAGAGGGAGGGAGGGAAGCAAGGTGAGAGAGGGAGGAAGAGAAGAGAAAGAGGAAGATAGGGAGGGAGAGAAAGTAGAAAGAGGGAGAGGGGGAAGGAGGGAAAGGGAGGAAAGAGAAGAGGAAGGGAAAGAGGGAAGGGGAGAGAAAGGAATGGAAGAGAGGGAGGGAAGCAAGGTGAGAGGGAGGAATAGGAAGGAGAAAGAGGAAGATAGGAGAGGGAGAAAAGTAGAAAGGGGAGAGAGGGGAGAGGGGGAAGGAGGGAAAGGGAGGGAAGAGGAAGGGAAAGAGGGAAGGGGAGAGAAAGGAATGGAAGAGAGGAGAGGGAGGAAGGGAGGGAAGCAAGTTGGGAATGGAGATTTTACAGTATCCTTTCCCTGGAGTGAGGTGGGAATGGAGATTTTACAGTATCCTTCCCCTACCACACCACCAAGCCACGCCCACCAAGCCACACCCACAGAACCGGTAATAAAAAAATTTGAAACCCACCACTCCCTCCCTCTCTCTCTCTCTCACCCCACTCACCCACAGAGTTGTTGTTGTGGGAAAAGAAAACGAGGAAGGCGTGTTGGATAGTTTCCCACCTTGAGTTATTTGCAAAAATAATAAAGGCAGGATAACCAATAAATCAGTCCCTAATTGGCTTTTGTGGCAGGACTGGAACTCACTGCCTCCTGATGCTGGCCCAATAGACCCACCTGGCTTTCATGGATAAGGTGGGACTAGAACTCACCATCTTCTGCACTGAACCAAACTGGCTCTGGTTAAATCAATAAATCAATCAATAAATGTATATTTCCAAGCCTTCAGGGTTTACAGCAGGGACACGGGTGCCAGTGAAAATAGAGTGACGCTGAAGTTCAGCCTAATAAATGTGTGAGGTTTACCTACTTGATTGTTGATTTTGTGGAGGGAGAAAGAATAATAATAATAATAATAATAATAATAATAATAATAATAATAATAATAATAATAATAATAATAATAATAATAACCACCTTACTCGGAACAGCTTACATCCTCCAACGATACCTTAACAGTTCCTAGGTCCTTGGTTAGGACTCGAGCTGCTGAGCTATTAACCAGCCTCAAAGGCTGTGAATCTCACTAAAGATTAACCAATAAATAATAATAATAATAATAAAGCTGTACTGCTTCATTGCTTGGATATTCTGAGGTAACCTTGGAAGGAAATCCATGTCACTTGGGGGACAAAACATGCTTAGAAATGTTACTTCATGGTACATGCCCAGCTCTTTGGATCATGCCATGACAGACCCAGGAGATGGTGAGTTCTAGTCCCACTTTAGGCATGAATGCCGGCTGGGTGACATTGGGCCAAATACCAGAAGGCTGGGAGTTCTAGTCCTGCCTTAACATGAAAGCCAGCTGGGTGACTTTTGGGCCAATCACTAGGAGATGGCGAGTTCTAGTTTTACCTTAGGCATGAAAGGCTGGGTACCTTTGGGCCAATCACCAGGAGACAGTGAGTTCTAGTCTCATCTTAGACATGAAAGGCTGGGTACTTTTGGGCCAATCACTAGGAGACGGTGAGTTCTAGTCTCACTTTAAGCATGAAAGCTGGCTAAGTGACTTTGGGCCAATCACCAGGAGACTGGGAATTCTAGTCCTACTTTAGGCATGACAGCCATCTGGGTGAGTTTGGGCCCAGTCACCAGGGGATGGTGAGTTCTAGTCCCTCCTTAGGTACCAGATGACAGCCGCCTGGGTGACTTTGGGCCAGTCCCCCTCTCTCAGCCCGACCCAACCCACCTCCCAGGGTTGTTGTTGTGGGAAAAATAGGAGGGGGAAGCTGTGTGGGATATATTCACTGCCTTGAATTATTTGTAAAAACAATAAGGGCGGGATACAAGTAAATAAAAAATAATAATAATTTCATATTTCCAAAAATGGACAAATTAAGATGCAATGGATGGATTTTTCCTTCTTCTGACAATAGCACCATCCTTTCGAGTCCTTTTTCAAACTGAGGAACTGTTGTGGCCCGCCAGCAGCCTGCGCAGATCGTGGCTGATCCCGACGACGAGGAGGCTGGTGTGGTGTCGCGCCAGCAGCCTGTGCAGCCGGCGCTCGCTTCGGACAGCGAGGAGGCTGAAGAGGATGTGGTGCCAGAGGCAGAGACTCAGCCGGGGCCTTCAGAACCTCCAGAGGCTCCTTCAAGTGGAGAGAGTGAAGTGGAGGAGCCTCTCCTCAATGCTCGAGCACGCAAGGCTGCCAAAAGGCAGGAGTGGCTGCTCAGGAGGAGGAGGTCTCCTCGAGAGTAAGGTTTGAGGATAATTGGCCACTCCCTTAGCTTATTTATGTCGCACGCAGTTAGTAATTTCTTGCTGGAAACAACGTGTAATTATTACAGAGCATTTTGGAGAGTGAGTGTCTTATCGTATCTTGTTTTCTGGGCTGGTTGCCAACCTTTGCCAGACTTTGTTTATTCTTGGTGTGTTATAACTTTGATAAGGACCGTTGCTGTGTGTCACAATCCTTGGGAATCCGGAGCTGGGACAGAACAGGAACTGAATTGGGGCTTGGTTGATCTCTTGTTCTGAGCTCCAATATACTACAACTTTCCTTTTTCTTTGATCAATTGATTAACTGAATGCCAACCATGCATTTTTGATTCTTGGCAATCTACCTAGACTTTCTCCGCGATGACCTCTCCCTTCAGGTGTTTCCCCCATTGCTCGTGTAACCAAATTCATCCACCTTTCTGCTGATTGTCCTCTTCCCTTCAACCGTTTGGTGCATTAAAGTCTTGAGCATCCAGTCTTCAGTCTGTGGCTTGATTTAACTTGGAACTGTACCCAAGTTTGCAGCAGAGCTCACTGTAACGACATTGCCAAAAAGGCGTTAAGAGTTGTAAACCTAATCTTGCATAGCTTCTTATCCGGTAACATTGTTCTGCTAACTAGAGCATACAAAACCTTTGCTAGACCAATTCTCGAATACAGCTCATCTGCCTGGAACCTGCACTGCATATCGGACATAAATACAATCGAGAGAGTCCAGAGATATTTCACGAGAAGAGTCCTCCATTCCTCTACCCTCAATAAAATACCTTATGCCACCAGAGTCCAAATTTTGGGCTTAGACAACTTAGAACTACGCCGACTTCAGTCTGACCTAAGCGTAGTACATAAAATTATCTGCCACAATGTCCTCTACTGTCAATGACTACTTCAGCTTCAACCGCAACAATACACAAGCACACAATAGTTACAAACTTAAGGTAAACCGCTCCAAATTCAATTGCAGGAAATATGACTTCAGTAACAGAGTGGTCAATGCTTGGAATACACTACCTGACTCTGTGGTTTCATCCCCAAGCCCCCCCAAATTTTAACCTTAGACTGTCTACTGTTGACCTCACCCCATTCCTAAGAGGTCTGTAAGGGGCATGCATAAGAGCACTAGCGTGCCTACCGTCCCTGTCCTAATGTCCCCATTTATTCATATCCTTATACTGTATTCATAATCATGTTTATACTTATATCTGCTATTTTATACATGCTTGACAAAATAAAATAAAATAAAATAAAATAAAATAATAAAATAAAATAAAATAAAATAATAAAATAGAATAAAATAATAAAATAAAATAATAAAATAAAATAAAATAATAAAATAAATAAAATAAAATAAAATAAAATAAAATAAAATAAAAATAAGAATGATGAGAGATGCTAAAGCTAAGGGAACTGCCATGCTGGTCTGTATGTGCCAGTAATTCCTCATTTGGTCACTAGATGGCACAAAAGGGCCAAAACATTTTAATGTTTTTCTCCAGCTGATGGAAATGAATTTCTTTATATATAGGTACGTAGCCCTCCATTTACAAGCAGTTCATTTAGTGACCATTCAAAGTTACAACGGCACAGAAAAAAAGTGACATGACCATTTTTTTTTAACCATTGCAGCATCCCATGGTCATGTGATCAAAATCCAGGCCATTCGGAAATGGTTTATATTTAGGACGGTCACAGTGTGGTCATGGGATCCTCTTTTACGACCTTCTGAGAAAGTCAATGGAGAAGCCGGATTCACTTAACAACCAGGTCACTCATTTAACAACGGCAACGATTCACTTAACAACTTTGGCAAAAAAAAAGAAAAGAAAGGAAGATCAAAACGTGGCCAAATTGACTTAACGTATGTCTCACTTAGCAACTTCGAAATGTTGAGCTCAGTTGTGGGTTGTTAAGTTGAGGACTACCTCTTTTAAAAAGTGGACGGGGAGGAAAACTTGCACAGAACATCAACTTGACCCGAAAGTATCTCTGGTCTTCAGAATGCGAGTTCCTTTCTGGTTTTTCTGGTTATACGTTAGCAACGGTGCCGTGCCCAGGCAGGCGATGTTATCACATCACAAACTGAGCTGGGAAGATCCTAGAAGTGATAATTCTGCTTTACGCCACACTTGGAATATTGTGTCCAGTTTTGGTCACCACGATGCAAAAAAAAAAATATTTAATAATTCCTGAGACCTTAGAAAAAGTGCAAAGAGCAATGAAGATGCAAACGGATCAGGAGGCTAAAAACATATGAAGAACAGTTGATGGAGTTGAATATGTCTGAGGTGTCAAAGTCTATTTCACTGAGGGCCGCATCAGGGTTGTCTTTGACCTCGGGCCCGTGGCTGTGGGTGTGGCCAGGGGGTGTGGCCAGCTCGAT